GGAAAGGAGGCAATATCAGTGGCAGAGCCAGCACAAGCCAAACACAGCCTTGGCCAATCAGCCACTAGAGGGGGAGTAAGCCCTAGCAGGTAATTATTGCAGTTTATTAAAAACTGCAATAATTATCTGCTCAGAGGTAAGGGTGCTGGTACACTGCACCCAGACCACTTCAATGAGCTGAAGTAGTCTGGGTGCCTATAGTGTCCCTTTAAGATAAATATCAAAGGTGTACTGCATATGCCACGATTTCAGACATCTTTTGTATCAAGTTTTCGCATAGATTTTTTTTCAATTTCAATTATTTTTCTTTTTTATTCATCCTTATTCTTCAAACATTGTATATTCTTTTTTCCCGACACAAAAATGACATTTAAAAAAAAATAAAAAATCTAATCCCTTCCAATCCCTTCCACTGAAATGTCAGCTGGGGACATCCAACCTATTTTGTTTTAGAAATATGATCACATTTTCTCTTCTTCGTTTTTTTTTTTCTTCTGTCCCCTTGTTAAAAGACTAACACATCTGTTCGAGCCCTTCACATGCGTCTCTTTTAAAACCCCGCTATAAAAGCTGGCTTCAGTAAATCAGTGCTCTGATGCAAAGAGGTTCTAACTAAAATAAATTACATTAAGCTGGTTTATTATATAAAGAGAACTTGTTTGAGACAGTACATTTCCAACCAATTTATTTTCTTTTCATAATAAAAGGCATCTGCAGAAAGATTCACACAAACAGTTTTTTAAATCAGGGTGAAATTAGAAGGTTAAAATATATTTATATATCTGTCTCTCTCTGTATATATAGTGAGTAAGTGCGCTGGATCTTGTATGCTGTATTAATTGGCCCCAGCAGCACCCCAGCATGCTCAAAAGAGTGCCACCCTCTTGGTTTCAAATATTTTAATATATATTTGGGAGTCCAGGCCAACTCCCTGGTTTTGCACCCCACCCTGTCACAGGTGCCTCATTCCAGGGCCCTATTTAGCCTTGACCTGCAGAGAGTCCCAGGAGGAAGCATTTCCCAAGTAAGTACCGTCTATACTCGAGTATAAGTCGACCCGAATATAAGTCGAGACTCCAAATTTTACCCCAAAAAACTGGGAAAACTTATTGACTCGAGTATAAGACTAGGGTGGAAAATGCAGCAGCTACTGGTAAATTTCTAAATAAAATTAGATCTCCCAAAAATTATATTAATTGAATATTTATTTTGTGTATATAATGAATGCAGTGTGTGTAGTGTGTGTGTATATAATGCAGTGTGTGTATATATGAATGCAGTGTGTGTAGTGTGTGTGTATATAATGCAGTGTGTGTGTATATGAATGCAGTGTGTGTAGTGTGTGTATGAATGCAGTGTGTGTATGTATGAGTGCAGTGTGTGTGTGTGAATGCAGTGTGTGTGTGTGTATGAATGCAGTGTGTGTGTGTATGAATGCAGTGTGTGTGATGCAGAGTGTGTAACCTTGGTGGGGGGGGGTGGGCATTTTTATTATTTTTTTCAATTATTATTATTATTATTTTAATATTAAATTTTGTGGTTTTTTTTATATTATTATTTTTATTTTATTTTAATATGATTAATTTTTTTATTATTTAAATTTGTATTTATATTTTTTTGTCCCACCTCCCTGCTTGATACATGGCCAGGGAGGGGGACTCTCATTCCCTGGTGGTCCAGTGGCATGGGCTGTGTAGGAGGGGGGCTGGCAGAGAGCTCTTACTTACCTTTCCTGCAGCTCCTGTCAGCTCCCTTCACCTCCGTGCCGGTCAGCTCCCTTCTCCTCCACTGTAAGTCTCGCAGTCTCGCGAGACTTACAGTGGAGGAGAAGGGAGCTGACTGGAACACAGGAGAAGGGAGCTGACAGGAGATGCAGGAAAGGTAAGTAACAGCTCTCTGCCAGCCCCCAACAGGACCGCCGGGCTTGTAATGAGCCTGGCGGCCCTGGTCTGTATTATGGCAATGTAAGTTGCCATAATACAGACAGTGACTCGAGTATAAGACGAGTGGGGGTTTTTCAGCACAAAAAATGTGCCAAAAAACTCGTCTTATACTCGAGTATATTTGGTAGATTAATCTCATAAGAGCAGACATTAGGCTGCCAGAGTAGGACCTGCCAAGAATGGGGTACATTGACGTTGTGGCAGGCTTACACAATGTATGAATATATAATGTAACTAACCCCCATTATTTTTGCAGAGGTGAGGTGTTTAAAAAAAACTATTACATTCTGTGACCTTAAAATTAATGTTTAGTGAATGAGTGACTGTGCTGGATCTTGTATGGTATATATAGTTACGTAGGTCTGTCTAGGCATCGTAACTTATTCAGCTTTTGAAGTGCTGATGGTGCCAGGACCCTTTCCCTGCATCACTGCATGCCATCTTGCATATGGTTTGAATTTTAACTAATGCCAGTGGGTTGGAATGCCAATGCTGATGTGGACTGACTTACAGACGGTGCTCCCCCAGAGTATATGTTGGCAAATCTGAAGAGTCTCTCCGATAAATGGAGCCTCGTGTGCCAGTTCGTGCCGAGCACCAGTAATCAAAACTCTGATAAGAAAACCTACCAGTCCACCTTAGTCAGTTTGTTCCTACATTTTAATGCATTTTACATCCACAGTCCCATTAAGATAGTTTCCCTTTTATTTATGTATTGTAGAGCACCTTACCCAGAAAGTGGGGTTTTGGCAAAGAATTCTGAAGTTATGTGTTTTTTTTTTTCCATTTAGTTTTCCTTTCTGTATGCCCTTGGCATCTTAATGATTGTACATCCCTTTGTCACTTGCATTAATCTAATCTAATTATCTTTTCTTCCTAAATATCTGAGAGCAGCCATTTTGTTCTGCCATTTTGTTCTGCCATTTTGTTCTTAATGATGTCTACTGTTTGCCCTTCTGTGGGACTCACTTTACTGATGGATTGTGGGTAAATTTGATTGGCAACTGAAACAGAATCTTGCGTTGCGCTCCCCCAAATTGACAAATTGATTTTTGTTAAAACTAGAATGCTCAGGAAATAAAATAAAAAGATTCAGACACTGGTTCGATAGATAGAAACTGATTCGGTAAAGTTTATTTTTAACAGCATGACAAAAGTAACACGTTATACATTTTATTTAACCCCTTAAGGACACAGCTTCAGAAATAAAAGGGAATCATGACGGAATATTTCCGTCATGTGTCCTTAATGGGTTAATGGTGCATTTTCCAGAGAAGGGATGGTTCTTTATAAATGGAACCGATATGTAAAAAGCAAGAATAGAGAGAAAGTAACAATGTTGGATTGATTGGCTAATCAGATATTTAAACTCTCCTGGCTTGTCTTCCCTCACACGATCAGCAAAGTTCAGACTCTGGGGGTGTCTAATACATTCAAATTACTTTGGGAAATGGGAGGTTAAATTCTAGAATTAAGTGAGAAGTTTAGAACGCACAAAATCTTTCACCTGCTTCACGTGAAAGAATGTATCTTGCGCAGGTAAACTTAAAACTGCAAGCTAAATTCTCTCCAGCTGAGAATTCTGGGTAATCACTGCAGATGGCTGAAGAAAAGAATGGATAAGGCTTCGTGCTGCCTTCTAAGTGACTCAATTATGTATAAATTCGTGATTGTCATTTTCCAAGTTCTTTTCATTCTCAGCGTAACTCTCACAAAAAGATTTTTGTCACCTGAACTTTAAGTACTCTTCGTTGCTGCCAATCATCCAAGTCTCCTGACAGGCACAACTAAATATGGATAAAATACAGTCTGTCACTAAAACTGCTCAGGACAAGATACGGAGGGGGGAGTTGTTTTTTTTTATTTTAAGTTTTTTGGGTTTTTTTGGAAGAAAGGAAAAAAAGAAGAGCGGTTTTTAACCTTTTTTGCTCAGAACATTTTTGAGCAGCCGAAAACAACAGAAAAGGTAAAATGAAGCTGGTTATATGCTAAATCAAGGAAAATTGAGAATCAAAGTGCAAAATGCAGGTTAAAATATATATCTGGCATTTGCTTCTGTGCCCTTTTTTGGCGGCACCAGAGAAAAGCACACACACCAAATGAAGGGATAGTGAAGGAGCGAGGGAATTGTTGACAAACCCCAATTTCAAAGCAGTACGCATTTTCTGTGTGAAATTAGATTTTTGATCTGTCAGCTGAGCCCTGTCAATCGAAAAAAAATCATTTTCTTTTCCTTTAATACAGATTCTCTCTGTCCTCCTGTTGCCCTCACAATTTCAAATTAAGGCGTTCACTGAGCAGTTGTGGGTACAGTTAAAATGGTATATTCGTGGGGGCGTATAAGCGATCAGCTCTCTGAGAGAATCCATTTAACAGCCATAAATAGACAAGCAAAAACAGCAACGAACACCAATTTTTCACCCTAGACCATCAGAGAACCCCCCGGTCACGATGGCACAACGACCTTCGAAAAAGTCGAAGATGCAACCAGCGTCCCTGCAAGTTGCGGCCTCAACCTCGCCGCCAAAACGCGCACAAGATGGCGCCAGCAGGCCTACCTCTCCAGCCTCGAGCTCCGGAGAGAGTGAAGAAACGTCAATCTCAGCTAAAGGTATCCCGACTACAGACTCCTCCATACAGAGAATGCTAGATGCATTACAGAGCTCACTACAGCCAGACTTTGCCAAATAAGCTAAAGAAATTAGGGCAGATGTGCAGGCCCTGGGGGAACGCACTGACTACCTCGAAAGCAAAACAGAGGAAATTATTACCGCACACAATAATGTAGCGGCTGCATATGAATACATGGAAGCCGAAATGAATTCCATACTTACCAATCTCGCAGACCACGAAGACAGGGATAGACGCAATAACATTCGTATCCATGGTATCCCCGAAGATATAAGCCCTGCTAACTTGGGTACCTTCACCAAAACGTTGTTCAAAACACTGGTTCCTGACATCCCAGAATCGGCACTCCTACTGCATAGAATCCATCGCCTGCCAAAGCCCAAACAGCTTCCGGCATCTACCCCAAGGGATAACATAACTAAAATACATTACTACACGACTAAAGAAACCATCATGCAAGCTGCAAGGACATTGCAAACCCTCCCGGGAGAATACAAAAATATTCATCTCTTCACTGATCTGTCTGCCGCCACATTAGCGACAAGAAAAACCTTTCTCCACATCACAAAAGCTCTACGTATAGCGGACAGCCCTTACAATTGGGGCTTCCTGGCAAGACTCATTGTGCGGCACAATGGTGCAGAATATCACCTTCTCACACCCGAAGAAGGGATGAAAAAGCTGGCTGAATAGCACATATCAGTGGATATGAACAACCCTTAGACACTCGCCAAACAACACCCCACCTCATCTCCGATGCAGCTATCCCATGACTAGAAAACATCCGCCACAGCTAAGTGACATTGTTGTGACAAAAATTGGTCATTCTTATCCTTGACTAGATCAAGGCCTTACGAACTCTGTACGTATACCTTAGATGCTAATTATGATGTTGCTGTTTACTGCCATATTAGCTAACTTTGTTTATAACCCCCACCTATTCAATAACAAAGGAATGTGCTTGTGGTGCGTGGGGGTCTACGGGCATGTATGCCACCGACAGTTGGACCCTTACCTGTGTGCCCAGCCATAAGCGGAGGCGCGTGCTCGTGGGAGACCACCCTGTCTCGAACACATGTTAATTTGATACCCCTCCACCTTAGGACACTAAGGGAGGACTCTCCCCCTCAGGTAGGCTTAAAGGACCACTCTAGGCACCCAGACCACTTCAGCTTAATGAAGTGGTCTGGGTGCCTGGTCCTTCTAGGGTTAACCCATTTTTTCATAAACATAGCAGTTTCAGAGAAACTGCTATGTTTATGAATGGGTTAATCCTTCCTTCAATTCCTCTAGTGGCTGTCTCATTGACAGCCACTAGAGGCGCTTGCGTGCTTCTCACTGTGATTTTCACAGTGAGAGCACGCCAGCGTCCATAGGAAAGCATTGTAAATGCTTTCCTATGCGACCGGCTGAATGCGCACGCAGCTCTTGCCGCGCGTGCGCATTCAGCCCAGGAGGAGGAGAAGAGGAGGATCGGAGGAGGAGAGCTCCCCGCCCAGCGCTGGAAAAAGGTACGTTTTTACCCCTTTCCCCTTTCCAGAGCGGGAGGGGGTCCCTGAGGGTGGGGGCACCCTCAGGGCACTATAGTGCCAGGAAAACGAGTATGTTTTCCTGGCACTATAGTGGTCCTTTAAGTACCTGCTGGTAACTGTTATGTTCAGGCCTCATCACAGAGGCCATACCTATTTAAATAGTTTGTTATTGGTTTTATGTTCCCTCCTCAAATGTCCTCCCTTCGATATTCTGACAACACGCTGGACCCAAACTATACCCCCCCCCATCCTTTACATGACAGCACAACCAAATACACCCCACTCCACATAAAGACCCCCAACCACAGATGTGAGGTGGTGCAGCGGATATCTATACAAGCGTGTCAACAAACAAAGCCCCCTCGGGCTCAAGCACTCCCAGACAATTGTAATATAACTCAGCAACTGATACCCAGAAGTACACACCGCTCCCATGTCACTTAACGTTTTCTCCCTTAACACTAAAGGACTGAACTCACCTCACAAGCGGAGACTAGCACTCATGGAAGCAAAAAAACAGAATACACACGTAGCGTTCTATCAGGAAACTCACTTCCAAACAGCAAACCACCCTAAATTTTACTCCAAACACTTCCCTACATACTATCACTGCACATACAAGACAAAAAAGGGGTGTTACGATCCTAATTAGCAAAGATGTATCCTTCCAACTAATAAAAAAAATAACAGACAAAGAAGGAAGGTATCTTATATTACAATGCATAATAAATAATGCCCAATATACACTGGTCAACATCTACGGCCCACACGATAATCAAGACACCTTCCTAACCAAAATCTTGACTCTGTCTAATGCTCATAAATTTGGAGATATCATTATTGGAGGTGACACCAATTTTCTCCTAGATCCAAGTTAAGACACGACCTCCTCCTCCAAGGTTAAACAAACAACCTCAAACCAGAGATTGTGCTCAGCTAGACTCCTGGGAACCACCCTCCTAGACCACGAATACATTGACGTTTGGCGGATCCTACACCCTTTAGAAAGGGATTACACATACCATCCTTTAGTAAACACACCATACTCCAGAACAGATTGCTTCATTGTACCTATCACACAAGTAACACAGATCAACACAGCCTGTATAGGGACTATCTCGTGCTCTGATCATGCACCTATCTCTATGAAGGTAGAGACACCTTACCAGACATGCGGCAAATTCATATGGCGTCTTAATGACTCACTGCTAAATGACCACACCTTGATCTCACAGATAACCAAAGATATGGAATCCTATTTTTCCACAAACAACACACAAGATATTGGTATAGAAACCCTATGGCAAGCACACAAGGCGGTCCTCAGGGGCCAGCTTATTAAACATTCAAGCTATAACAAAAAAAACCCCGTATGACGGCATACACGGACACCATTACTGAACTTACCATGCTCACTCACACCAACAAACAATCACCCTCACATACAACTACCAAACAAATCCTTCAACTACAGGCCCGACTGAGGGATATGGAATTAGCAAAAACCACATACCTCTTGACCAAACTAAAATTCTTCAAAGAAGGAAACAGAGCAGGCAAGGTTTTAGCAGCCCAACTTAAAGCACGAACACAATCCTCAAAAATAGCATTCCTCCAGACTACAGATGGATGTAAAATAACCAACCCGCAGGACATAGTAGAAGAGTTTGGCACATATTATAGCCGACTATATAACCTAAAACAAGACAACCAAACACATACACCTACACAAGCAGACATAGATGTCTTCTTACAAGATGTCGACCTACCAAAACTCACACTTGATGAACGCCACACGTTGGCACAACCATTCACGATCCAAGAGGTGCTGCAGACTATCAAACAACTCCCGAAACACAAGTCTCCAGGACTCGATGGGTTCACAAATCTTTACTATCATACGTTTAAGGATCTACTAGCACCCCATATGACAGTTTTATTTAACCGATGTTTCCAGACGGGCACTATGCCCACGGAAATGCTGAAAGCACACATCTCCACACTACCAAAACCAGGGAAACCACCCACACACTGTCCCAATTTCAGACCCATCTCCTTACTGAACTGTGACACTAAGATCTACGCCAAACTCATAGCAAACCGCCTAGCCACCATATTACCGTGCATAGTACACAATGATCAAGCTGGCTTCATAAAGGATAGACAGGGCTCTGATAATACCAGGAAAATTCTAAACATACTTTCACACATAGAAGAAAAAGGCGCAGAGAGCCTGTTCTTAGCTTTAGACGCAGAAAAGGCCTTTGACCGGACATATATGGCTTCAGTACTGACTAAATATGGCTTCCCCACAGAATTACTACAAGGGATTATGGCATTATACACAAAACCTTCAGCCCAGGTCTCGAATTCTGGCTTCACCTCATCACCTTTTGACCTTACCAATGGAACACGGCAGGGATGCCCGCTTTCTCCCCTCCTGTTCATATTATCCCTAGAACCACTCGCTCACAAGATTATACAAGACCCACTCATCACGGGAATCCAAATTAATACCACAAATTACCATCTAGCTATGTTTGCCGATGACATTATGCTATCCCCGAGTAAGCCCTAGACCTCCCTACCATGACTCTTGACTTTACTAGATAGCTATGGCCAAATCTCCTACTATAAACTGAATAAAACCAAAACACAAGCGCTACCGATTAATCTACCAACACAACTAACACAACAACTACGCCTTACATTACATTCGACTGGAGACAAAATTATATAACCTAACTAGGAGTAAATTTAACACTACACAGACAGAACATGCTGTCCCTTAATTACACACCAATTACACATACAAAATGGAAAGATGTTAAACTGTCATGGTTGGGGAGGATACATTCAATCAAAATGATGATACTGCCTAAAATTCTATACGTATTTAGAATGCTGCCCATACACGCTCCAACACAGCTACTCAAAAATATCCCAGCCTCATTGAACAAATTCGTATGGGGTAAGGCGAGACCACGCCTACCTCTCTCTCTCCTCCAACTGACACCCTCGGCAGGTGCTTTAGGACTCCCAAAGAAATCCACGTACTATAAAGCAGCTATCCTAGAGTCCGCCATCAAACTTCATGCCCCTAAAAACACCTTCCAGTGGGTAGACATGGAACATGGCATGACTCGCCCTAACCTCATAACAAACCTAATGTGGACACTGAAGCCATTCAGACCACGAGTGACCCCACTCTACCCAACTCTACCCAACCACAGCATTGACTCTGCGAACCTGGGACCAATGGCAAAAAAGTTCTGTACTCAAGCCCCACTGACGGCATTGGAAACAATATCACCATGGCTGTCCCTGAAACCAAGAACATCCAGAGGCATTACCCGAATAAAAGACTTTTGCTCCCAGTCCCCTATGTCCCTTATGCTCCCAGTCAAAACACTGGAAAGTCAGAGAAAACTACAATGCACTGAACAGGGAACCAAGAGAAAACCATGACAGGCAGTGATCATGGGACTAAAACTTTATTTTAATACTGAGGGGCACTCAGGTTGGTCCAAATCACTCCTGCAACCTCGTTCCCACACTTTTTGGGGTCACAAGGATGATGTGGACCAATCAGAGTGACAATGATCCTCTGTGGCCTCAAATAACTCAATGCACTTTATTAACATAAGTAGAGGGATGCCGCGATCGTGCAGTGTCCATCTCTCTGTCCAGAACATCACCAAATGTTCCTGCTTCCTGATTGGTGTTTTCTGAATTTCAGTTCCGATTTAGAAAGCACAAATACCTGAGAGGACCATTCCCAGAAGTCACGGTCTTCCGTGCCATTGAGCAGGGGCACTGGGGGGCCAAATGTTTTGGGGATAATTTGTGTGAAAAACAGGTTGCCCACTTGGTTAAAACCGAGAATCAGTTACAAATAAAACATTTACTTTGTTTTTGTAGAATCAGTATCTGTTTTAGAATATTACCTCTCCTCCTTGATACAAAATAACCTTTACGTCTTGTTCCATCATGTTATTATATAAGATCAGCTCCTTGCTGATGAAGGAGAGTCTATCACTTGGTCAGTGTCCACTCTCTACCCAATAAGGAAATCATATATTGTCTCAGACGCAATCCCACAGATCGGAGTTAGATCTCCCAGAGACTAAGTTTGTGATTTTTCTTCAGTAGGAGCAATCAGAGTGAATTAATGAGGCTCAATGTTCTCATTGTTTTAACTCTTCGTCTGCATTTTTTTTTATTCCCAACAGTTCAAAAAACAAGAAAAAAAGAATGCGAATCGAGCAGTGAAGGATGTTTTCTACAAATGTCAAAGGTGGCTAAACAGACACGGTTTTCTTCCTGTTAAAGAGCCAGGAGAAACTGAACTTTAGCTTCACTGACATGCCTGCTTTTGTGCTACTGAATTCTCAAATGTATGGTTTTAAAGCATCTATATACCATATACGGAAGCACTGAAACATTGTGTTTCTTCTTCTTTCCCAGAATGCTGTGCAAGATATGCAAATAAATACAAACAACACAGTCGGTTTTTCAGTTTTCTGTGTTTCCCTTGGCTTTCTTCACAAGGACCTGCTGGTTTATAAAACAGTTGTTTATATCAATAAACTGTTTTGGGATTGGAATGAACCAATACCCACCTACGGATGTGCAGTTTTGACCTTTAAGAGCTCGTCAGCATGGCACCAATGTTGGATCAGTGATTGAAATTTCACTGAAAGTATTAAACCAAATATTATCAGAGTTGTAGTGAGATCAAAAAGTAATTAAAAAAAACCTTTTATCAGTTAAAGCAAACTCTCCAACGTGCTGCTAAAAGCAGTTTCTTTCTCTAAACTGCTTGGTAAAATGTCTGAAATTCAAAGTGAATTGAAAGTGGATTTTATATTTTAGGTGAAAAAAGCTGAATTAGAAAATTCTGTAGTATTTTCAGTTCAGCTATTTTAGACTAAAATTTGAAATTCATCCTGAATTCACTTTAAGTTATTATAACCTGGGGGGCGGGACCTGACCTGCAAGCAGAGCAGTCGCATGGTGGACGAGCTCCCACCACACAAGCTGTTTACAGGGAAATACTAGCAGATCTTATGCCTGAATTGATGCCGGGGTGTGCTACCCATGCTGGGGACGCCCTGGTGAATCACCCGACACCAGACTCAAGTGTTTCCCGCAAGCGAGAACCCAAAGTGGCATGCTGCAGCCTGCGTTGGACGGAGCAGAGGGGAGACGGACGCTCCCCTCGCCCCTGCGCCAGAGGTACTAAGTCGCCGACTAACCCGCTCCCCCCCTTAGGACCGGCGGGGGTGATCCCGGTCACAGCCTTCCAGGCAGCAGGGCTACAACGTGGGTTGACAGCAGAGCATACAGGGCAGACTCATGCTACACGGGCTCATACAATGGCGGATGCCACATGCGTTCAAAACTGCTACACAGACAGGCTCAGCATCATGGCCAAACTCAAAGCCATACTCGACGCCTTCTGGGCATGAATGGCAAGCAAGGAGCGACACACCAAAGCACCAGTGCACACACCCAATGAAAAACCTGCACATTCCCGCCACGACTGCACTGGCCCTCGCCTGACAGAACCTTCAAGATGGCACCGAAGACAGAGACCCCACCTGCTTAAACACAAACAGGCAAGATCAAGCCACGCCGAAACCCCAATATTGATCTCACACTTGCATAGTGCCTTACTGCACGCATCAGCCATATTCCCAAATAGCTTGTCACCTATTAACATAACGATGACATGCCTGCCTGCCTGGCAATTCTCATGTTTATTTCTCATGTTTATTTCTTCTATTTATTTTGTTATAACCATCCACATGTCAAAGTTTATTGTATAGGATAACGTCTCATATACTCCTGACATGTTTCGATAAGCCTGTTGTATTATTACGTAAGACACGTTGAATAGGCCTGTGACTACACAAGTTAACCTAAAGATGTATGCAGTGATTACCTAATGAGCCCTCTCTATAAATTACAAGCGAACCATACATCAGCATGTTCTCTCTTGTTCAAAAAAGATGTGTGACTATCTCATACCATGACACTGTATATTTCTGTACGATAATGCACTTCTTGTTAGCACTGTCGTGGTGCTGCGAGCATGTTGTTCTCCTCTTCATACAACAAAAATAAAGAATTAAAAAAAAAAAATTTGTAAAAAAATTATTATAACCTGTGAAATATACTCATAAAAATCTAGTGATTTTATATAAATCAAGTTGGCCCACAGAATCCAAGTCGTTCTCAGATTTAAAATTTTGCAGGAAGGAGGGATGGTTTTGAAGTAAAAAATCAGTTTAAACCTCTTCATACCTACATTCTGTCTATATTTAAAATCAAATAAAATGCTAGGAATACAAAGTTGTATTCCTAGCACTATAGTACCCTATACTAACACCCCCCACCCCCAAGCATTGAAAGGGTTAATAACTTTCTTGTCACTTACCTGATTCCAGTCCCTCGGCACTGGGTCAGCTCAGCTCCGTCTCCTCTCCTCCTCTGCCGATGTCAGCCGGTGTGGGGGACCTAATGCGCATGCACAGCGAATGCCATGACCACATTAGGACAACCCATAGCAAAGCATTAAATCAAGGCTTTCCTATGGGGTTTTAGCTGATGCTGGATATTCTCGTTCAAAGCGCGAGAACGTCCAGCGTCATTTAGTGTACCAAAAGTCCGCTGAGGACCCAGAAGACCAGGAGTGGAGTTAACCCGTCAAGATAATTATTTCACTTATCAATAACTGAAATAAATATAATTACAATTGCAGTGTTAAGGGAACAGGGACACCGCACACAGACCACATCAATGAGTGCCTATAGTGTCCCTTTAATGGAACACTCCAAGCACCATAACCACTACAGCACACTTTAATGATTATGGTGCCAGCAGTGCCCTGGTTCCTACTCCCAACTGTAAGGAGTCAAACCATTTTAGGACAGTTTGACTTCTTTCCCGGCGCTAATTTTACCATGCCACAAATAACAGCTTAGTATTTTCGCCTAAATGCTAAACGATTTGTTTTAAAAAAAATTACATTATTACACTGTATCATCATTACAGTCCAGCGATATCGTTCATAAATTTGCAAGACAAATGTTTATGCGCGCCCCAAAATATGATGATCCTCATCCCCCAGTTGCACGATTTAACGCTTTAAGATGTGTCCCCTGGCAGTACGCATTATAACACATTCAGGCAGCGTGATCAATTAAAGAGATGTCCCCAGCTGTCTTAAAATTCCGATGTTTGGAAAATAAGAGGTGCCGACGCATGTTCCTGCCGCAGAAAGTAAACAAATTTTTGGTTCTTGTCAAATATTTATGTCTGGAGCAGAGCTGGTCATGTTTACGTCTCGTGGCAGATATTTTGGGCTCGGTGGTTTTACAGTGCATGATAAACTCAGCCTTGCGAATGGAAAGGCAGACATCTAATTGATGGGGTTGGTAAAATGCTAATTTATGGGTCCAGTCTATCTAATATTGCGGTCCTCTGCCACAGTTTACAAGAGAAGTGAATTGATGAAATAGACATTTTTAGGGATATATGCACTAAACGAGGAATTGCAAAAATCGCTAACTTAGCTATTTTTCCTTAAATTTGCAAATTCCCTTATTCTTTTTCTATATCATTCACCTTGGTGCATAAATACATTATGTTTGTAATATCATAAGTTAGACTAAAGGCCACTATTTTTTGTATTTAAATTTTATTTCCTATGGAACACTTCAAATATATTTCTTCCTAAAAAAATATTACTCATGGGTGTTGCTGAGGAGGAGACGTTAGGGTCCCAGATAAAAGATTGTTTAGCCCTGTTTGAAATCCATCCTCCATCTGCAACATTTATTTTTGTGTTTAAAATGCTAAACACATATTTTTCAAAGAAAAAAAAAATTGGATGTCACGGATGTTACTATCAAATATAACCAACATGCACGGAATTGGCAGGGACGAGACTGAGAGAAATTTTAAAAGACAAGTCGACCTTTTAGCAGCCAATCACAAAACAGAATATCTTCCCTGTGTGTCATTGATTGGCTGCACCTTCTGCACTCCAAGCAAAGACAAACTCTTAAAACTTTCTGAGTCAAAGAATAAACAACGACATTGTTATTTTATGTTTAAAGAGAGGGCCAGCTTATTGCTCAAAGCTGTACCGTAGGTAAAAGACATATATACGTAAATGATGATAATCGCATTTTAGATTTAGGAATAAAAGAGCAAGGTGTAATGATGGTATTGCTCAGAAATGCTTACATTCATATGTTACCCGGGAGAATCGTGTCAAGGAACTAGCATAGCGCTTGAATGATCCCGCGGTCAGAGAGGTACTCTGGAGACGGGGAAATACATTCATGGACAATGAGTATGAGTGACAGGGCTGTCAACTTATGTTACATTTAATTAGTGAGGTTATTAACGAGCATGACCCTCGGGAGAAAATCTACATGCTGAAAATATTGTTACGTTGTGATACATTGGAGGATCTAATTAACCTTTTAAGAACCCAGTGTCAGACTTTGCCCTCATCGCACACGTAAGGAACTGCAATACTGGATCCTAAATGAAGGGCATGGTTTAATGAAGCACAGGTCATGTCAAACTAACTTGACTGCATTCTACAAAGACGTAAGTAGAAGTATAGATCAGGGGGTTGCAGGTGGATGTGATCTACTTGGATTTTGGCAAGGTGTTTGATACGGTTCCTCACAAAAGGTTAGTCTTCAAACTAAAAGAAATTGGTCTAGATGAATATTCTTGTTCTTGGGTAGAACATGGGATTGACATATGCATAGTCGCCTTTTTCGGCATATGCAAAATAAACAATCCCCCAAAACCCAAAGATACCCGGACACCTTATGTTTGGGAAAATTATCACAGCTTTATTAATAATTACAATATAAATAAAATATTAAGGGTCATTGTCAACATATCTAACATAACATCTCAGCCCCAACTCTTTTAACAATTGAACCCTGACAATGACCCCCATAAACAACCCATTCACATATATTAACATAAATAACATCTAACCACTTGATCCATTGCCACCGTGGTATACCAAGATGCACCCTACACACACCAGGTTCGGAGCCACCGATGAGCTCGAAGCAACCAAAATCTAACAAAACTTAAAAGTTCTTAGCGAACTAAACTATATTACATCTGGACAAACAACACTTGTTAATCCATCCCCCACTGCCGTGACCAAACAGGATCCAAAACCTACTTAAAGGGAGGGAGGGTGGGACAAATACAGGTAAGTGATGATTAATTAAGATGGCCCTTGACCTAAAATGGATGCAATATGTACTCCCATAATCTAAAAACCCCACCCCCACTTTCTATAGCCAAACCCCCCATATTAACACCTCTTATGCCTGTCTCCTAGGCCTGTCAAGGCCCATTCCACCTAGCTGCGCTGCTCCATGGGCTGCATAAGGATAGAGTACAACGAGTTGTCATTAATGGTAAATTTTCAAGCTGGACAGAGGTGGAAAGTGGTGTCCCTCAGGGTTCTGTTTTGGGACCCCTTCTATTTAACATATTTATAAATGATCTTGAAATAGGCATTGAAAGCCATGTATCAGTGTTTGCAGATGACACAAAACTCTGTAAAATAATACAATGTGAGCAAGATATTACTTTGCTGCATGGCCACTCTGCGTGATTGAGGCATAATATGCCTCCAGCGTCGCAGGTGCGCCTCTAGCGGCTGTCAGGAAGACAGCCACTAGAGGCTGGATTAACCCTGCTATGTTTACATGTGAAGGGTTAAAACCTGAGGGACCTGGCACCAAGACCACTTCATTGAGCTGAAGTGGTCTGGGTGACTATAGTGTCCCTTTAAATTGTTCTCATTTAACAGCCATGGCAAATGCAAATGCAAATAAAAAAACACCAGTAACATTATTTTAAATCCTAACCTTTGCATTTTACTTTTTCACTTAATCATTATTTATAATTTAAGCATTCTGCTTAAAAAAACAAAACATAAAATACAAACTAAAAATCTGTGGCTAAATAATTACAATGTTAGACCTTCAAGAGTTTATTCGCTAAAATTCAAATTGTAGCAATCTACAATCTAAGAGGTAACATTCTGGCTAAAATATGTTATCCATAAGAACAAAATGGATTCTGTATAAAACTCTTAAAGGACCACTATAGTGCCAGGAAAACATACTGGATGGCGAGGAAAGGGTTAAATCTTACCTTTTTCCAGCGCTGGGCAGCTCCTCCTCTCCGTCTCCTCTCCTCCTCTTCGGCTGAATGTGCATGCTCAGCAGGAGCTGCGCGCGCATTCAGCCAGTCTCATAGGAAAGCATTCATAATGCTTTCCTATGGACGCTGGCGTCTTCTCACTGTGATTTTCACAGTGAGAAGCACGCAAACGCCTCTAGCGGCTGTCAATGAGACAGCCACTAGAGGCCTTGAGGGCTGGATTAACCCTATTATAACCCTATTTATTAAAAAAAAAGGGTTAATCCTAGAGGGACCTGGCACCCAGACCACTTCATTAAGCTGAAGTGGTCTGGGTGCCTAGAGTGGTCCTTTAAGTTCTAGAAGTGGCGTAGTTACCATGGAAAACAATGAATGTTTGTGATTTAGAACTTTGTCCCAGACTTATTTTTATAAACAAGCCGTATTGTAATATCATACTCACCACTAACATAAACTGCTACTTACTCATACAGGAGTTTTTTATTTAATACTTTTTTAATAAAATATGTTACCAGGAAGGACTGAAATTTCTTTTGTTTTGTACACCATGCACATGTTACAAATTACAATAATAAAATACATTGTCGCACATATAATCAGGACTCCCAATTGTCCCCCTTTTAGCGGGACAGTCTAAATTCCGGGGTCCTGGCCCGCTGTCACCATTTAGTTCTCTGGTGTCCCACATCCGTGGATCTCAGGGAACTGTCCCTGGGTGCAGTATGAGACCATCATCAGGAAGAAAAGAAATTAACAGCAACTTGGAAAAAAAATTAACTTGTGGTCGAGGACACGTAAAATCTGAAATATGGAGGATATAAAAAAAAAATAC